AGGCTGCAGCCCAGCCCCTCTGTGTAACACAGAAGTGGAGAAGTCTGTCCAGGTCATTAGTGCCTAGAGCCTCAGCTCACAAAGCTATCCCAGAGACAGCCGACTCAGGACTACAGGAGAAACTGTACCACTTTTATGACTGCTCAGACATGGGCATTCGTAAGACTTGGCTTTTTTATCTGTCAGGATAAAAAATCCTGACCAATCTAACCCACATTTTGGGAATGAGAGACCTCAGTCCTTGGAAAGCAAGACCTAATGTTTTCCAGGCCTGGGCCTGTGGGCCACAGGCAGGGAGCTTCAGTGCTTCCTGGGGTGGGGATTATTTAGATTGCCCTGTGCAAGCGCCTCAGACCTGCTTCACCGATTCTCAGGCCTGAGCAGTGAACTTGACTTGTGCTCCCAAAGAAATCGTGCAATGGCTCACGCTGAGTTAGTCTCTCCTCAGGCCATGTTACTGTCCTCTCTGGCTGCAGTGTCCTCTCCTCCCTCCCCTCCCTGTTATCGCCACAACAGACAATCCTTCAAGTTCTCCCTCAAGTGCCACGGCCTCCCTAATTATGGGTCTCCCCTAAGTATTCTCCTTTGTATCATGGGAACATGTTAAGCGTTGACTTATACACGCTCAACTTTGTTCCCTTATCATTCTTTTTCCTTCCACCACCTGCCCCTTTCCCTCTTCATTTCAGCCTCAGGATGTTTGGCAATGTCCACTGGTTTTTGAGTGTTTTTTGTTGTTGAATTTCCTGCTGTGTACATTAAACTGTCACCCTCTTGAGGGTGAGGATCTACCCACCCCTCCTCCTACACACATGTCCATGTGAAGCCCCCACAAGTCTGGACACAGGGCAAGTAAACCAAAGGCCAAGGCCAGGTCAATAATAATAGGTGCTGAGTCTTCATACTCCCTTGGGAGACCTTGAATGAGTAGGTTTTATTAGTTGTTCAAAGCAGGGCAATTGGTTCCAGTCTTATGATCATAATCGGAGAATTTTCCAAAGCTGTTCCTGATGCGTGCAGCCTCCTCCAGGCAGAAGTGGGAATTGGCTGTTCTCAGAACTCCAAGAGCATCCCCCTGTCTTTGTGATGACGTGAAGGAAAGGACTCACTCTACCCTGGTTTTCAGGGAAATCTAGGCAACAGTTGATAGGCAGGCGGAGTGGCAGGTAGTACGCAGAGATGAGTGGGTGGCTGGGGAAGAGCTGCAGGCAGGCAGTGGCTTAGAGGAGGCCTATGCCTCAGAGTGCAGCCTACCGGGGCAACAGAGAGATGAGATTTGAAGCTCCCAGACTCCAAGCCACCAACCCCACCAAACCCCCAGACCAGCTGCCAAAAGAAGCAAAGCTAGAGAACCCAAGTGGAGGCAGCTTATTTCATCAGCATCCAGCTGGTTAAAAATAACTTCACTTATTGGTTTAAATGAGATCACCACAGGACTGGAAATTCACTGTCAGTGAAACAAAAATACAGGAAGGAAAATGAGAAAAGTCTGCATTTATGATGAACGTTGTTTCAGAAAAGAAGCAGAGAAAGCGGCCTGCAAGTCCCACAGGCTCTGTTTTCTTTCCGGTCTCTTCCTGAGGCACAGGGCTGCCATTTTTAGAAAGAGCGTTCTTCTTTCCTCTTGTCTTGCCAAAGAGGGGCAGAGACGCAGAACTAGGTGCCATGAAGCATCGTCAGGAAAAAGCAACCGTTGGAGATAAACTGAGTTGCGGTGTACACGGAGCAAGACCTCACCTACACCCCGGCAGGAACCTCAAGGAACGGGCTGTTCTCCTCACTTCCGCCCAGGCAGCACCTTCCCGCCACACACAGATAGCCCTTGTTAACTGCGCTTCAACAAAGGCCCCACTGAAGAAAAGCAGAGGGCCTGTGGGAGCGGCTCACATGCTCTTTCTAAAGGACGAAAGGCAGAGGAGCAGGGACACAGTTTTTTTCTGAGCGACCTTGAGGAATCCATCCTGTCTTTCTAGAATGTTCGAGATCAACTCTCTGAACCCGACCAGTTCAGCATGCAATCCGAGTTCCTTTCTGCTTCACCAGAAGCCTCCTTGCAAATCAGGTTTGGTAGGGTGGAGACTCCTGTCTCCCCTTCAGCACCCTCCCTGGGGACCTCTCTTGGCCTCCAGGGGAGGGCAGGCCAGGCAGGGCTTCATATAGCTGCCCAACGAGCCATGCAGCATTCCTGCTCTGCTAAAATGACTCCAGTCCTCTCACAGGCCTCATGAATCTGCTTCATCTTTGCCCCCACAACTCAGTTTTTTTTTGTTTTGTCTGCTGCTGTTATTTTTTTTGGAGGAGTAGGTGGGCCATTTGGGGGGATATTTTTATTTTTGTATAATTTCAAAGTTACAGAAAAATGGTAAGAACAAGGAATTGCCATAATACAATTTCTCCAGAATGTGTTTTCATTTTGCCCTATTTGCATTATCACTCTTCTCTGTCTTGATACAGATGACACATACTTAGAAACAGGTATCCACAGAGAGAGCCCAGGATGTTATACATCACATACACATGCCTGTACGTGTATATCTGTATCTATAATTCCTTTCTGAAACTTTTGTGAGTAAGGTGTAGATATGTTGTCCCATGGCCTCTAGAAAGCTTGGTATGCATGTTCAAGAACAATGATTTTTTTTTTGCATAACTATTGTGTAGTTGTTAAAATCAGGAAATTTAAGCACTGCCACAATACTATTACCTAATTCATACTCCATATTCAGATGACCTCAATTATAGCTTTTTCTCCTGGCCTAGGACACAATCCATGATCACATATTTGTTGTTGTTGTTTTTTTAATCTCTTTAAATCTAGAAAAATTGCTCAGGATTTTTATTTTGGCCTAATCCTTGACATTGAAAACCAAAACAAAACATGAGGTTGGCCTTTTTCACGTTATTTTTCAATTTAAGTTTAGCTGTTTGCTCAATTTAAATATTTTTGGCAGGAATATCAGTGAGATTATTGTTCTCTAAGTGGCCATCAATTGGACCATAACTCAATTTTGTAGTCATTATCACAGGTTTAGCCTCAGTGCTCTGGATGTGAGTGGACGTTTCCAAACTTTAGCTTTACGCACTGCCATTGTGGGCAAAAGGCATGCATGCTGGCATGCACACAAGCTATCTGAAGGCCTGAGAGGTGGAAAACTTAGCTTAGCCTTTTGGATGATAAGGAAAACATGACCAGTCACCCCTGACCTGACCAACTGGCAGCCAACTCCTGGAAGCAAGGCCTCTTAACCAAGGACTGACCACAGACTGATGCATGATGCCAGCTGAACACAGCAGAAGAACTCAACTGCTGGTCCCATGAAATAATGACTTTAATTGTTTTAAGCCACGATCCCTTGGGGTGTGAGATAGTAGAACCTCATACCTTTCTTCGTCAGAGGAAAGAGATACGACTCAGAATTCCTACATATTAGAGATCTCTGTAGAAAGAAGATTGTTCTGTTTTCCTTCTGTCTCTGTCCTGGCTCCCTCAGGAAATGGAACTTTTGTGTATATTTGGGATTTAAAGGATTATTTTAAAAATTAAAAAAAAAAAGAAGTCAGCAGCATGGATAGCATTCTCTCTAGGTTGTCCTGGAGGAAGCCTGCATCCTTCAGTTCCTTATTTGGACACAGAAGATTCTCACTCTTTTAAATAAGTCTTCAAATGCAAAAGTCTTCTGGAGGGAGAGCCCAGCACAGAAGAGAAGCCCATTACTAACAATAGCTAACAAGCACCAGTCAGGGGCTTAGGGTTTCCCAACACTTCTGGCCCCTGCCTGAGAGATTAGGATTTCTGTCTCTGGGAAGCAGCCTAAGGGTTTAAATTTCTAACAAGTTTGTCTGGTATTTCTCATCATCAGAGTAGTTCTTAATCCAGGCAACATATTAAACTCATTTGAGAGTTAAAAACAAAACAAAACAGGCCCTCCCTGGTGGCTCAACAGGTTAAAGCACTGCACTAAGAAGCTTAAGCCGCTTCCTCATGAGTTCGATCCCCGCCTGCCCTGGAGGTGACCACATGGCGCGTCAGACCTCTCCTGACCAGCCCGCTGCTCCCATCAGCAGTGGACTTCGTCAATCTGCCTGTTCTGCTCCCCATTCTGTCCCTGGTGAATTCTCTCACCCTCTGCATCTCTGGCCTGTATCCCAGTTCTGTATGAGTAAATAAATAAATCTTTAAAACAAAACAAAACAAAACCCAATGTCCAGAACATGTTTACCTGACTCTCTAGGGTTGGCACCCAAGTTCAGTATTAAAACTTCCCAGACAGGAGCAAGGTGCAGTGAGTTAGTGGCTAGTAATTGTTATGTCCAGTGAACTGTCCCTGAGACTCCTTTATGATTTTCTCCTCACTGTTCAGCTGATTTCCCAGAATGAAGTTGAATTTTTTTTTTCTCAGAAATATCCCCAAATCCTTTTGAGGAGGAAAAATGATTTTTTTCTGTGTGGTGTCCACCATGAAAAAAAAAACTAAAGAGCAAGATGCATCAGCCACTATAGCAGTGCTGTGAGGGGTGCCCCATATTCCCAGGATACCTTTATGATCCCCAGGGCCAGGGGCTCCTGGTGGGAACCTGTGCTTCTTTGTCAGAGGGTGGTATGCACGTTACTGGAGCCCTTGCCTGGGCACACCAAAGCCCAGAAGAACCTGGAAATTTTTATCTTTCTGAAGCAGCTTAGTGCCTTACAGGTATAGTAGCATAAGGATCTAAGTTTTCTGACCCTTGATCAGGAAAAACATGATGACCTACAATTCCTCCAGAGAGCCCCTGACTTTACCACCCCTAGCCTTCACTTGGCATCTCAATCCTTTGCTTGGCTTGCTAACTTTCTCTGTCTACCTTCCTATAGCCCTAAAGGCTTTTCTTTGGAAGACTTACTGGTAAACTATGTTCAGTGAAACCTCATCTCATCGTTTGCTTCTAGACAACAACACAACCCAAGCAGTCAACTCTCAAAAGCACACCTTCAAAACCTTTCCCAAGGCGCTGGCACTGACCTTCATTCTTTATACAAAGCGCATTGTATGTGCCCCCAGGAACTGGGTTGCTCTCAATTTTCACATCAACAGCTCTCAGGATCTGCTGTTCACCACTCCCCTTGCTACACACAGTTGTCCTGAAATACAAAAAGAACACGTGAGGTTAGGAGAAGTAACCCAAAATGGGAAAGAACAGTTATTTTTGCTGTGAGCTCTGAATTGGAAGATTTTTCTGATGCAGGAACTTTGACTTAAAGCATCAAAGTAGAAATATTCTCCCCAAACACAGGTCTAAAATTAGAAAAACATAGCTGATTTTTTATTTGAAGTCATATGGATCAGCTCAGATTTCAGCACAATACACTATTGATCCCTTCAGTATGTTTTTTATTTCACATAATTCTGTTTTCCTTTGTTAGTTCATTTCTTTTTTCTTATGATAAATCATTAGTTCATGAACCTTTGGCCTTTTTCTTATATAAACATTTTATTACTTTAGATTTCCCCCTAGAGACAGCTGTAGTAGCATGTAAATTTGACTATATTTTCAAGATCATTCAATGTTTTAGATATATGTTAACTTCCATCATAATTTAATTTGTGTTCCATGATTACTTATAGATATCTTTTATAAAAATGACTAGAATAAAAAAAAGATCCATCTGGCAATCTTTTGTTTTTTTCCTTTGGAGCAACTCATTTGCTTATACTTAAATCAATACGAAATGTCTTCCAATATAAATCTGCCATCTTAACATATATTTTTAAAGATTTATTTTTATTTATGCATACAGGAACTGGGCTATAGGCCAGAAGTGCTGGGAATGAGTGTATTCACCAGAGACAGAGTGGGGAGCAGAAGAGGCAGACTGACTGAAATGCCCTGCTGAGGGTAGGAGTGAGGAGACAGGAGAGGTCTGCTGCGCTGTGTGGGTCACCTCTGGGCCAGGGATTGAACTCATGCCACAGTGGCTGGTGATAGCTTCATAGCACTGAGAATTAACAACCCCTGCGCTACAAGGAGGTCTACCAAGCGTTTTCTATTTGTTGTGCCGAGTCTCTTGTCCTCTCTTTTCTCTCCTATTTTGGATTGTTTGAATGTAGATTTTCTATTTTCTCTGTAGTGGTTGGAAGTTATATATCCTTTCACTGTTCTTTTGGTGGTTACTTTGGGTGTTACAACATGATCCTTTGACCTATTTAATATTACCTTTACCTTCTTCCCCAACAATGCAATTTAAAATGCTTAAAATGCTATGTATGTATTAGTATATTTGAAATACTTTCTGAATTATATACAACTTTTTAGTGCTTAGAATTATTATTGCTTTATATATTACCTAACTTTAATTTATCTACATATTACCCTTCCCAGTCACTTTTTTTTACCATTATTTTTTGAAGACATTTTCACTGGGCATAGAATTCAGTAATTTTCATCATTTTCTTTCTCTTCTACTTTTGGAATTCTAATGACATGTATCTTCTTTCTTTACCTTTTACCATTTCTTCTCTACACTATTTTTTTTTTCTGCTCTTTACTCCGTATATTTTCCTCTGAAATATGTTCCAGTTCACTAATTTTCTTTTTGGCTCTTTTTTTTTTTTTTTTTAAAGATTCATTTATTTATTCATACAGAACTGGGGTACAGGCCAGAGATGCGGAGGGTGAGAGGATTCACCAGAGACAGAGTGGGGAGCAGAACAGGCAGATCTACGAAGTACACTGCTGAGGGGAGCAGCGGGCGGGCCAGGAGAGGTCTGCCACACCATGTGGATCTCCTCCGGGGCAGGTAGGCGGGGATCGAACTCATGCGGAAGTGGCTTAAGCTTCTCAGTGCTGTGCTTTAACCCGCTGCGCCACCAGGGAGGGCCCTCTTTTTGGCTCTTTTTAATCAACTGCTTTATCTATCAAATTCTTTATCTTAGTTATTATATTTTTCATTTCTAGAATTTCAGTTTGGTTATTTTTATAGTTTATAGTCTTCTGCCAAAATTCTCTTTCTAGTTTTTCTGTCTTTGAATATTTTAGAGTTATTTTAAAGTCTGCATGTACCAGAATATGTACAATTTCTATTGGCTGTTTTCCCTAACTTTTATTCTCATTGCCTTGGCTCCTTCTAGATTGGTTACTTGTATTTTGTGACAAGTAAAATGCCTAAGACAGTGTTATCTTCCTCTAGAGAGCAATTTTAGAATCAGCTCTGCTAACTTCCTGGAGTACAGAACTTCAGTATCTTCTCAATCTAAACTCATGGCTTCAGAGAACTTGAAGCAGTTCTAATGAGGGCCTGTATACTTCCAGGTTTTTTCTTATTCTTGGGGGTTATAATATAATATTTCAACCTAAATGGGACTCTCCAGACTCCCTCCTATTCAAAACCTGAATTTCAATATCTGTCTTCCTAATCCTAATTGGTTATCAAAATTGTCATTTAGCTTTATGAATCTGCAGAAGTTCTAGGGAAAAAGTCGTTTCAGATTCTGGATTCACCATTATAGACCTCCCTCCTCTTCCAGATTTTTTAAAAAAGATTTTATTTTTTTATGCATATAGAACTGGGGTACAGGTCAGAGGTGCAAAGGCAGTGAGAGGATTCACCAGAGAGAGTGGAGAGCAGAACAGGCATATCGACAAAGTACACTGCTGAGGGGAGCAGCGGGCGAGATAGGAGAAGTCTGCTGAGCTATGTGGGTCACTGCCAGGGCAGGGATTGAACTCCCACTGAAGCAGCTGAGGCTAGCTTTGCAGTGCTGCGCTCCAACCCACTGTGCCTCTAGGGAAGGCCCTCCTCTTCCAGATTTATGTATGTACTCAACACAAGTTCATGGAGCTACACATCAGATCTACATCTATATACCTACTACGTTATCAGTTGCAAGCTGCACCATGCATTTAATAATTTTCAGTGAGGAAGGGAGATGACTGTGGAGATGAAATATACCTACTAATGGTTAGACACTTCTTGGTTCCAAAAACATTAAGTGGAGAATTATTATTAATATGTTAATAATAATAAGCAAATAAGCCAAGTAATTATATTTGTTTATAAAGAAATATAATTTCAACAATGTAGTCCTTACAGCAAAACCAGAGAGGATAGACCTATTCAATCACCCAGTCCTGGCTTATAATGCTAGGGAGTCACCAGATTCTAAGTTGTCTCTTATCTGATACAATAATTGAAAGTCAAGAATAATATTTATACTTAGCTAAAATATGGCAATGTGCAGTACAGGACATACTTGTCTAGTTAGGAATCTGGATGTAAAATATAAGGCAGAGAGGACTACCATTTCAGTCTTTCTGAACAGCACTAGCTGCAGCCTCAGTTGTCCTGTTTCTGCAGTTACTTCTTCACATGTGGCCCATTTTGTGGCACGAGTCAGCATGGCTCAGTGTTTTCCATGGTCCACGCCATCATCAGACACCTTCAGGATCATTATAAACCAAACGATTTCTTGGGGCCCATTTTGCTCTTTCACATTCCTATGGCATACATAAGGAGGTACAGCTGGCTAAAGAAGTAGCTACAGCACCATCAGAAAGTTTTCTTGCGGGCCACAGGATGAATTTCTCTGCAAGGATTCCATGGGTCAGGAAATCAGCCAGATCATGGTTAGGGAATGGTTAGGCTCTGCTCTGTAATGTATAGGGCCTAAGCTAGAAGACTTGTAAGCTAGTCATAACTCAACAGAATAACACAGTAGGCTAGAATCACCAGGAGGCATTTCCACTTACATGTCTGGCAATCAATACTGGCTATTCACTGGTATGCTGGCTGAGATTACTGGTGTGAGGCCCTACATGGGGCATCTCCACATGGCCTATTCTGGATAGCATGACCATCTCAGATAGTCAGAAGCCTCATGGGCATTTCAAAAGTGAGTGTGTCAGAAATTCAGTCTGGATGCTTCTGACCTAACCTCAGAAGTCACATAAGATTACTTCTGCTATAATCTAGTCTTCAAGACAATACTATACTCATTAAGGAGAAAGGGCATACTTCTCACAGGAGTAATGTGAAAGAATTTTGGTCATATTTTTAAACCTTTCCCATCTCTTCCTCTATATGTGTATGCAGATGGATTCGACAGAGAAAGACAGTTAAAAAACAAACAAACAAACAAACAAACAGTTAGGAGTCATTACCTCTGAGGTAGGGAAGAAGAGAGAGACTCACATTGTACTCTATGCAGATTTATATTATCTGAAATTTTTACAACCAGCATGTATTATTTTGTAACTTCAAAAAGAAATTCAAAATAACAAAGTAAGGGGAAAAGTACTGTGAGAGAACTCCATGAAAAGTTATTATGTGAGAACTCAAAATAAGAATGCACTGGAAGCCACTGCGAACTGTACTTTGCCTCTCCTGGCACCTCAACAGAACAATTGTTGCCCAATGAGTCCCTGCAGGCAGTCAGGGTGTTGGTAAGTAGAACTTCCCTAGCCCACAGTTCTTACCCAAGAGTGCCATCCGCCAGCCAGCCTGTGGTACACACTGCAAAGGCACAGTCCTGCACGACCCTCTGCAGTTCGTCTGCAGACACCAGGTGAGCGCCTTGGTTCTTGCAGGAGAGCCGAGCTGCCTCCAGCTGCAGGCCCTGCGAGCCATTCAGAGACTCCAGCACAAAGAGCTTTCCTGGGTGGGAACAAGCATGAACACAGACTGTCTTTAGGATCCATGGGAATTTCACCTCAGAAAACTGCTCACTGGCAGATGCTAGTCTGAATTGTTTCCTATTTGCCTGGAGACCAAAGTACCCACTGCACTCATTCCTGGGGGCAGGAGATGGCAAATACACTAAGGCTTTATTCATTCATTTTTTTGGTTCCTCTTTAAAAAATAAAACTTTAAGCATGTGCTTTGGCAGCTTTAAGTGGACAAATCCTTCAAATCTTCCTCTTAAAAAGCTGTTTCACAAACACCTGGTGGCAAGGTTCAGTGTCCCAGGTTCCCCTGAGTCAGGGGTCCAAGAACTCAGCCCTGACTTCTGCCTTCATCTGCCTTCCCCAGCCCTGTGGTGACCCCATGCACAGCAGGTTGCTTTCTTTTCTCTGTCCTATTATTTCAGGACACTACCAGGTTCTTCCCACAATGAGAATGCTTGTGCTTGCTAGACTTCTCCCTGACTGAACCAGAAGGCTGTGGCATGTCCAGATTACCTTGGCTTCCTGCAGCACATGGGCATGACCTAGGCCTCAAAGGATGTGTGACAGGTGAGTAGAATGAACTCAGGTAGATATGGAAGCTGAGGCCAATATCTCTTAGGAATATAGACATGAAAATATTAAAAAAAAATGTACTAGCAGGCCCTCCCTGGTGGAGCAATGGGTAAGGGAGCAGCACTGCAAGCTAGCTACAGCCACTTCACTGCGAGTTCAATCCCCAGCCCTGGAGGTGATCCACATGGTGCAGCAGACCTCTCCTGACCCGCCCGCTGCTCCCCTGAGCAGTGTAGTTCGTTGATCAACCTGTTCTGCTCCCCACTCTGTCTCTGGTGAATCCTCTTACCACCCTGGCACCTCTGGCTGGTACCCCAGTTCTATATGCATAAATAAAAAAATAAATCTTTAAAAAAATACTAGCAAACCAAATCCAGCATTTTATATGTATGAATGCATGCATGTATCCACACACATATGTATATGCACACACATACCTATATATTGGGTTGTCAGAAAAGTCATGACATATTTTTTCTATATTTTCAAGCAAAAATACATCATAGCTTTTCTGACAACCCAATATTTAAAACCTTCCCATAAAGAAACCTCAAACATATATACTCTCGTTACCAAACATTTAAAAAACAAAAATTCCCCTTGGGGAGATCATTAATAGAAGAAGGAACACATTTTCAGTTTATTTTTAAATCCATCATAATAAACCTGATGTCTAGTATAACTATAAGAATATTACCAGAAGTGAAAATTACAGGGCAGTATATTTCATGAACACAGACTCAATGATTCTTAATCTGTTTATTCATGCTAAGCTCAATTCTAGATCAGCGCTTTTCACTACAAAGCCTCTCTGTAGAATTCCATCCATATATATACCTTCGAAGACTATCCTCACACAGATGAATCACATTGTTCTCTTAAGTCCAGACCTTTTTCATTCACCCCATCCACCACTCCACCAGCAACTCTCTCTCTTAACTGGGCAATAAAACAGCATCTTGGTATGGTCTCTCTCTCCAAACTTAGCCTGGTCCCATGAATTCACCAAACATATATATGCCTTTAGGATGATCACTTCAAAATACACATCTGGTTAGTTACTATACTGTGCAAAGCAGTCAATGGATTTTTTTCCCTTTTTTTTTTAAAGATTTATTTATTTGTACATTCAGAACTGGGGTACAGGCCAGAGGCTCAGGGGTGGTGAGAGGTTTCACCACAGACAGAGTGGGGAGCAGAACAGGCAGATCGACGAAGTACACTGCTGAGGGGAGCTGCGGGCGGGTCAGGAAAGGTCTGCCGCACCATGTGGTCACCTCTGGGGCAGGCGGGGATCGAACTCATGTGGAAACAGCTTTAGTTTCTCAGTGCTGTGCTTTAACCTGCTGCGCCACCAGGGAGGGCCTTTTTTCCCTTTTTTTGGATTAAAATAAAACTTGGCCTATGAAGTCCCACATCAGTGCATTCATACCAGTTTTCCTACCAGCCACTGTCTCTTGTCATATGTCCCATTCTCTTTGCCGCTGTTTCTTTGCACATGATTTTCTCTACCTAGACATTCTTTTTTTTTTT